AACATGAATCTTTTTTTTGACGTTGTGACATACAGGGTGTTCCATTAGAAATAGTGGAGAATTTCGATGTTGAAAAACTGATTTTTTTTTTACCCGCCCTGTATAAGAGGCAAAAAAATTTGCAACCTACTGAAAAAAACTATAGGCCAAGAGAAATCGAATGGCACAAACCGCAGGTAGCTAGCACACCTGGTTTAAAAGTTATAGACATTTAAAATGGGTCACAAGAACAAAAAAAGCACAAGACTCGCCAATCAATAGAAGTATCTTTCAATATAACAATGTACCTGAATATGTAACTAGAGCAAGAAATGTTCACATAATGTTAAATAAGCTTAAAAAATACTTAAAAGAAAACCTGAATGCATAACTATATAATAGTATATTTATATTGATTTGTTGAATAATATTGAATGAATGGAATTGAATTATTAGAATAAATAAACATAACCTTACTAGAATTTAGTTAACAAATAATGTATTAATAAGGCCCTGATATCAGTTACCTGTTTGGGGGTCAGAAATAAATAAATAAATACAAAAAAAAAAAAAACATTATAGACCTAGGTATAGGAATTTGCGAGTTTTTCCCTATAACTTTTGGAGATAAACCGAGAGATAAACATATCAAACCATATATTGTTGAAATCAGGTTAAAAAGGAGTAACAAATAAGCGCACAATATACAGGCTGTTCCATTTAAAAAAATATAACTTCACACTGCAAAACTTTTTGGACGCACCCTGTATGCCTGAAACTGACTTAGTCAAAAGCTTTTGACAATTTTTTGAAACTTTTCTATCTGACACTTCTGTCAAAAACGTCAAATGAAAAAGTTAGCAGGGGGTGACATTTATAATAGATCACCCTGTACAAACGGGTGGATTGTTGCGGAACTTATGGGTGGACCTCTGCCAGCCATCTATTCATCAATATATGTTGTTTAATTAGGATGCTAACCAGGGATGTTCCGAGAGAATTTGTAAATGTGCACTTGACAGTATAAAAAGTGGGCATATCTGACACAAAATGTGCATCCCCCTTGTTTTGCTTTTCAATGTTGTCGGTTGCGAATAGGTGGGTTCGGCTTGATCACTCCGTGCACTCCGAGTGACTCCATTCACACTCCAACCGTTCGGGTATTGCTTTTTACCGTATTGGGGTGACTCCATTAGTTTTGTTCTTACTCCACTCCAACTCCGCACTGAATAGCCGAACCCAGCTATTGTGTATGTTTATTCTTACAACGTTGCCAGTTTCGATTGCCAATATTTTATATTTTCCATTGAACTAAACAAACACTCTGGAACGGGCGCACTGCTTTATGCTAGTGTGCCGAATTTTGATATATGCAACCCAGCAATACAGTGGAATTGTTGTCTCGTTCGCACTCATTACGATTAACGTAAAAGAAAGAAGAGCTTCTTCATCTTCCGAACCTCAATGATCTAAACACTTCAAACACCTGTTCTCAATAGCCGCTATAGTGCAGAGAGAGATACAAATCCCACTTGTTTGTTGTCCTTCCTGTGCATATAAATTGAAAGTGTGCATCAATATGCACAATTGTGCAGTTTGGAACATCCCTGATGCTAACTTGACTCACTCAAATGTGAGTTATTCTATTCTATTCTCATTAGTTTAAAAACTACACATTTCAGGTGAATGTCTTATTTGAACAGTTCAACAGTATATTGGTGAGTAGATGGTCCACCCCATATAGAGGTCCACCCATAAGTTCTGCAATAATCCACTTATTTGTACTTGAACAATAACTTATTATATAAAGTCAAAATTTGTAAGATTATGATTATTCACTTTTTGTCAAAATGTCGTTCAACAGGAATTAGTAATGTTACTTTACTAAACTAGTAACATAATGTGACAAGTTATTCAAGTACAAATGAGTGAATTGTTGCGGAACTTATTGGTGTACCCAGCCATCTATTCACCAATATGTTGTTCAAGTATGATACTAAACCTAGCTCACTCAAATGTGAGTTGCGTTACTTGAACAGTTCAACAGTATATTGGTGAGTAGATGGTTGCGGAACTCGCTGCGCTCGTCCCGCAGAGGTCCACCCATAAGTTCTGCAATAATCCACTTATTTGTACTTGAACAATAACTTATTATATAAAGTCAAAATTTGTAAGATTATGATTATTCACTTTTTGTCAAGTTGTCGTTCAACAGGAATTAGTAATGTTACTTTACTAAACTAGTAACATAATGTGACAAGTTATTCAAGTACAAATGAGTGAATTGTTGCGGAACTTATTGGTGTACCCAGCCATCTATTCACCAATATGTTGTTCAAATATGATACTAAACCTAGCTCACTCAAATGTGAGTTGCGTTACTTGAACAGTTCAACAGTATATTGGTGAGTAGATGGCTGCGGAACTCGCTGCGCTCGTCCCGCAGAGGTCCACCCATAAGTTTGGCAACAATCCACTTAGGTATTTGTACAGGGTGTTTTGTTTATATGACACCCCATCTACAGCCTTTACCTTTACAGGTAGCAGTGGCGGTCCATACATGATTTTCTGGGGGGGGTAATGGATGGAAAATCATCAAGTATCGCAACATACGTACCGCCAGAGGCGACTTTTTTTTTTTGGGGTGCCACGCCCAAATTTGCTCCCGTAAGTAGGGATAGCAAAAATATATCGATATTTTGTAAATATCGATATATGTATTACTGAAATATATCGATATATTTTAATCGATATATTACATTCGATATATCGAAAAAAATATCGATATAATCTTTTCGATATCTCATGCCACTGTGTATGAAAAAAATTTAAATAGGAAAGTTGAATTGCTTGAAAAATAGTTCTCAGAAAACATAGTTTTGTTCATACAGGGTGTTGCAAAAAGTTTAAAAAACAAAAAAATATATTTTTTCAAATGGGACACCCTGTATATTATGACATTTCTGGATTCTGCGGAAAATTCTAGACTATTTCATGTCATATACCTATCTTGAACTGTTTCGGAAATAATGACAGTAGAAAATTGACTCTTTTGCTACTTTGATAGGCTGTAAAACCTTACCTGTTAATTTTACAGCAAAACCGATTTTACATTCTTATCGACAGCTTTTCATAAGCCAGCATTTGACACCAACTTTGAATTTAACCGGAGATTAAATTTAATTGGAATTTTTAATCATGGATTAAATTTAAAGTTGGTGTCAAATGATATTTTACAGTCCGTCAAAGATGTAAAAAAGTCAATTTTCTACTGTCATTATTTCCGAAACAGTTGAACTTAGGTATATGACATTATACATGAAATATGTCTAGAATTTTCCGCAGAATCCAGAAATGTCATAATATACAGGGTGTCCCATTTAAAAAAAAATATATTTTTGTTTTTTAAACTTTTTGCAACACCCTGTATAAACTATGTTGTCTGAGAACTATTTTTCAAGCACTACAACTTTCCTTTTTAATTTTTTTTATACACAGTGGCACAAAAAAGTTAAGTTGATGGGAAAATATAAAAAATGACCCTGTACGTACCAATTGAATGAGGAAAAGAGACTTTCCGCCTAATTGGGAACGTTATTTTTCTACAATCGTGCGGAATAGTAGTTTTCTGCACGCATTTTAGGGCATGAAAGTATCAGGATGACCTAACATTGCATAATTATTCTACTTTTCCATTTTCCAAACTAGTGCGGAAAAGTGATAGTTTCATGACCTAAAATGCCTGAAGAAAAAAAGCACTTTTCACACGATCGTAGAACAAAAATAAAAATAAAATATATATCGATATATTCAAAATATCGATGTTTTTCGTTCAATATATCGAATGTATCGATATGTTGTTTCGATATATCATATGATTCGATATATCGATATATTTTTCTATTTTGCCATCCCTACCCGAAAGTGGTTTAAAAACACGCTTCGGGCAAAAATATATCCCGATGCCGTCAAAATAGTTATACAGGGTGTCCACTTAGTGCGATACCGGACGATATCTTCTTACAGGGTGATGCAAGAAAAAATAAATAAAAATTCAAAGTTGTTTGATTCTCTAAGGTGCATTACTTAAAAATATTTTATACAGGGTTCTCTGTAAATGTGGTATGCGACAGAACTTTATTATTTTTAAATGGAACACCCTATATTTTAGTACATTCTATCGTTTTAAAAATCCTACATACTTTTTGTTAGGAATCATCTATACCAAAACTCAACCGTTTTTAAAAAATACCTCCTCGCTCCTCATACGCAAAGTGTCATTTTAAAAACGACGTACGTTACTTACATTTAATTCTTGGTCCTATGAAAATCTATGTTAACATTCTACAGGGTGTTCGCAATACTGTACACAAAACCAGACGTTTCAAACAACCATAGCACTGTATAGTAGTAGGTACGCAAGGTTGTTTGAGAGAGGTAGGTTGCCTGATAACTTCATGTCGTCATCTGGGGTGCCTCAACATAATGCAAATTTGCATAAGGCATCCCAGATGCGTCATCAAGTTACCCATTACCAGACAACCTATGAACTTTAAGAACCTTGGTAGATACGTCGGTACTGGTGAGCCTATCATATTCATACGATAGCTTTAATCCTTTACTTTGTAAAACTTGTCTTTTGTCTTTTGTTGAAATTTTCTTGTAATTAATAAATGTATAAAAAAAAATTTGTCTGGGGGGGGTAATTACCCCCTCTACCCCCCCCTTTAAACCGCCCTTGACAGGTAGAAGAAAGGTGTAAATACAAAAGTTGTACGGTTTTAACTGAATTTTTAGAAACCATGGTCAGAAATGTTAGAAATGTGAAATTTTGCATGCTTCCAGCTTTTTTCAAATGGAATGCCCTATATTTCATTCTGTCAATACTGCACAACTTTTATATTTACACCTTTCATCTACCTGTAAAGATAAAGGCTGTAGGTGGGGTGTCCATATATAAAAAAAACATCCTGTATCTACCTACAACACTATAGCTCTTACTGATTCTGTGACTTTTTTAGGAGGACATAGAATCCAGTCTAGGCATAATCCACGAAGTTTCAACGAAAAGTTTGGGTTCCTTATGCGTAACCGAACAATTTCGTTCATTGACGGTACCAATCGATACGTTGAGGTTCGAATCGGCAAGACAAAAGGCCGATTTGGCCGCTACACTTTTACAAGACTTGGGAGTTGCTCATCACAATGGTAAGTTATAACTTTTTCCATTTATGTATATCTAACGCATATAGTGAAAGCTTAGGAAATAAATTGTTCCCTAAAAAATTCTAAATCACTCACATACCTACACACAAGTTGATGGAAGGTAAATTTTCATTTCATTCAATTACCTGGATAGCGAAAGAGCAATAGTAGCAAGTTTAGTTTGATAGTTAATGAAATTGTAGCTAAAGTTTTAAGTCGAGCGTATTTCGCCTACACGAAACCGGAAAAGCTACAAGTTTATAGTGCCTTGGAAAAAGATAAATATATTTTAGATGGTGCAAAGATAGGGGCATTCAAGTTTATGCTGCTGTAGGAAAATATGAATGATGCTGCATGCATTATTATGAGAATTTCGTATGAATTTTTCACAGTTTCTTAGCACAAGATTGAAAATCATATGAAATGTTATCAAAAGAAAAGTCAGTTAGGTAAATCATTTTGTAACAAAATATTTATCTGTAACTTTCATTATTGCACAATATAGGTTCAAGCTTTGTACTAAAATAATTACACAAACAGGAGTATTAAAAAATGAAATAAAACTATATACTTTTCTTATAGAAATAAAGTCAAAGCAAATAAAATCAACAATCAAATACAATAGTGCAAAGTTTGAAATTTTTATTTCTAGTGAGTCCTTAAGTAAACTCAATATATTGTAATGTCCATAAATAATATTATCAAAATATCCCTTTATCTTAGTCTGTTATTGACCTCCCTAATATCCTCCAAAGTGTTACATTGTTTATAAAGACTTCCGGCTTCATTATTCTTAATCGAATGCGTCCTCTTGATGAAATCCTGCTTCAACTTCAGCTCGTTTATCAGCAAATTTCTTCCGCTCTCCCTTCGTGAAATCCGTTTGATCGAATCGAATCCGTCGCTCAACTGATGCGGATACAAAACCGGAAATTGACTTTGAGCCTGGATTGATTCTCTCGCTTTGGAATTCTGATCGAACCCGAATTCTTCCAAGTATTTTTGGTGCGATTGGTAACCGGATTCTCGAGAATCTGGTCTACTCAATGTGTCATTGTTATAATCAGCTGCTGGAATGTAGTAAGGCTTTTTGGATGATTCTAGAATATCTGGTGTGCTGTTTCCGCTGGTTTTGATACTATAAGATTCATTGGTGGATAGTGATTCGGATTCAGAGTATCTTCGGCCCATTTCGATTTCATTTTTTAATATGTTCCTGCCTTGTTTTTTGGCTAGCGATTTTAGTAATTTTTTTTTTGTGTTGTCCTCTTCAGTGTTATTTTCGGGTGGTGCAAACAGTGCCTTAGCTGGTGTGATGGTGCCGTAATAATGGCCCGAATGAGTTTTAATAACTCCACGTTCTTTTGGTCTAGTAATTGGTTCTTCGTTTATATCCATTGCTTCATTTTGGTAAGCATATTGGTCATTGAGTCGTGGTTGGTTGGCAATTGGAGAACGTGGTTCTAGACGATAGGAGCTGGTTCTGGATACGCGTGCATATTCGCATTTGGCTTCGTGTTTCCAAATTTGCCTGCCAAATTGGAAACGTTCCCTGCAACCTCGTTCTTTGTTTGTGCAAGGGAATAAAAATATTTGACTGAAATTCTCGTAGGAATAATTTCTTCGGGTATTAGGTGGGGCACCGTTTGCGTATATACATCGGTGGCATACGTTTTGGCCATTGGTTTGTATGTGAACTGGGACATTATTGAGGTAACCTCTACAATTTACACATTCCAAGTCTTCTAGAAGATTGTCTGGCACTATTGTGAGTTTAGATTCTGAAATAATATTTTAAGGTTTTATATATTATATTGCATTAAAAAAAAATGTTACCGTCTTGTGGAATGTGCCTTTTTCCTTTGAAAAAAGCTCCCGGATGGCTGCAACAAAACGAACAACAGCCAACGTAATTGCATTCCTGCTCGTGATCCAGACTATCGTTCCAGCGTAGTTTGACTGGACAATGATTGCGCCAGTTTTTGCAAGGGTATATGAAAGTTGACGCTAGGGCTTCATAAGCGTAATTTCTAACAATAATTTAAAATTAACACAATCTTCATATTATCATTAAAAATTCTTACCTGTAATGATCTTTAGCATATTTCTTGCAACGTCCACAAATGATGCTTAAGTCGTTGATTACGTAAACTGGTGCGCAGGTAACTGGAAGCTGACAGTTTGTACAGGTTTGTGTGGACAAAAACGAAAAGGAAATTTCTGGCATTTGCATCTTGTACCTAAAGGAATTATCATTAAACTTATTGCATTTTTGTACAATGACGTGTCGGCAATGATAATCTTTTATCAAATTTTGGGATTAGGTTATAAAAATACCTACTTACATAGAGGATTATTATTTTTTTTTCAATCGAAACAGCGAGAGAAGTTTTGAATACAAAAATTTATATCAGTAAACATATTGTTTTTCCCTTTCTGCATAGTTTTGAAAATAATGAGTGAGATTCTACGTAGTTGAATACGTATTGTACAAATTTACTCGTTTTTAGATAGCTAAGGTAATAAAATATACCTACTTGAAAACGAGTGGCAATGACAACCTACTTTGAAACAAGTGGATTTTTACAATACAAAGCTACGTGGAAGCGTGTAAATTGAACTCCATTCAGCTCTAAAACTCCGCAGCAATCTACTCGTTTCCAAATTGCTACTTAGATATTGTAATTATACTTCCACTCTACACCATTTCAACATCAATTCCGGAAAAAGTAACTTTTATTTAGGAAAATTTAAAGTCATTTTCGGAAAAAGTCAAATCAATTTCAGAAAAAGTAAAGTTAATTTCGGAAAATGTAAATTCAAATTCGGTACAAGTGAATTCAAATTCGGAAAAAGTGAATTCAAATTCGGGAAAAATACATTCAATTATACGGAGAAAATAATGTTATCTTTCATAGAATTGATTGAGTCCTTCATCTATTTAGAAAATCAAAAAGTTTGCCCATATTTCTCAAAGAGACCGGATTTTTAAACCATAAAAGAAAGAAAAAAATTAGCAAGTCTATGTACATACATAAAGGATGACATTTATTGAATTAATAGATCCAAGGAAAGAATATTTATAAAGGAAAAAGAACATTCGAGTGACATCAATTTATCAAGACGTTATTAGAAAGTTTCAATGTTACACTTGCACTGCTACATTTAAAACCAAATCAAATTTGAAACATCATTTAATAACACATTTGGATATTTGTCCTCTTAAATGTAACACTTACAAAGCGAAAAAAAATTAGTTACATCCGAGAGTGTTGATATGTGACAACACTCTCGGATATTTTTCCTTTTAAATGTGACACTGGTAAGAAAAAATTTAAAGGAAAAGTTGATTTGAACGCACACACTCGGATGAGAAGAATTTTAAATGTAACATTGCAATGCAAAATTTAAAAAAAAAAGGCGATTTGAAGGAACACATATTGATACACTTGGATATTTATCTTTTTGTATGGGACATTTGCAAATCAAAATTTAAACGGAAACGCGATTTGAAGATATACAAACTAACACATTCAGGTATTTATCTATTTGAATGTGACACTTGCAAGGCAAAATTTAAACAAAAAGGTAATTTACAAAGGCATATTTCAACATACTCGGATATTTATCCTTTTTTTTATTGATAACCTATTTCACTTATTTAAAGTACTCCTCAGCGTGTTTAAATCCAATATTCAAAAACGCGCGTGTTTTAAAGTTACCAATGACAACATCACCAACCAACAACCCGAGAAAGGTCTAAATGTCAACTTTTTAATTATTGATTTGTCAGGAGTAGGTACTTGTAGATAACGTCAAATAAAATGTAACAAGTGTCAAGCACAAATTTAGCATTCTACAATTATTAGTAATTTATGATTTGAACGTATACCAATAAAAAAAAAATAGTGTAAAGTATTCGTGGATAACTGGTCTTTAAAACACTTGCTCTATTTCGAGAACTCCGGCTGCGCCGTCGTGCTCGAAAAATCGCGCGTGTTTTAAAGACCTTAATATCGACTTATACTTTAATAAACTATTTCAATGTGACACTTGCAAAGCAAAATTTAAACGGAAAGCCGATTTAAAGATTCACAAACTAACACATTCGGATATTCATCCATTTGAATGTGACACTTGTAAGGCAAAATTTAAACAAAAAGGTAATTTACAAAGGCATATTTCAACATAGTCGGATATTTATCCTTTTTTTTATTGATAACCTATTTCACTTATTTAAAGTACTCCTCAGCGTGTTTAAATCCAACATTCAAAAACGCGCGTGTTTTAAAGTTACCAATGACAACATCAACAATCAACAACCCGAGAAAGGTCTAAATGTCAACTTTTTAATTATTGATTTGTCAGGAGTAGGTACTTGTAGATAACGTCAAATAAAATGTAACAAGTGTCAAGCACAAATTTAGCATTCTACAATTATGAGTAATTTATGATTTGAACGTATACCAATAAAAAAAAAATAGTGTAAAGTATTCGTGGATAACTGGTCTTTAAAACACTTGCTCTATTTCGAGAACTCCGGCTGCGCCGTCGTGCTCGAAAAATCGCGCGTGTTTTAAAGACCTTAATATCGACTTATACTTTAATAAACTATTTCAATGTGACACTTGCAAAGCAAAATTTAAACGGAAAGCCGATTTAAAGATTCACAAACTAACACATTCGGATATTCATCCATTTGAATGTGACACTTGTAAGGCAAAATTTAAACAAAAAGGTAATTTACAAAGGCATATTTCAACATAGTCGGATATTTATCCTTTTTTTTATTGATAACCTATTTCACTTATTTAAAGTACTCCTCAGCGTGTTTAAATCCAACATTCAAAAACGCGCGTGTTTTAAAGTTACCAATGACAACATCAACAATCAACAACCCGAGAAAGGTCTAAATGTCAACTTTTTAATTATTGATTTGTCAGGAGTAGGTACTTGTAGATAACGTCAAATAAAATGTAACAAGTGTCAAGCACAAATTTAGCATTCTACAATTATGAGTAATTTATGATTTGAACGTATACCAATAAAAAAAAAATAGTGTAAAGTATTCGTGGATAACTGGTCTTTAAAACACTTGCTCTATTTCGAGAACTCCGGCTGCGCCGTCGTGCTCGAAAAATCGCGCGTGTTTTAAAGACCTTAATATCGACTTATACTTTAATAAACTATTTCAATGTGACACTTGCAAAGCAAAATTTAAACGGAAAGCCGATTTAAAGATTCACAAACTAACACATTCGGATATTCATCCATTTGAATGTGACACTTGTAAGGCAAAATTTAAACAAAAAGGTAATTTACAAAGGCATATTTCAACATAGTCGGATATTTATCCTTTTTTTTATTGATAACCTATTTCACTTATTTAAAGTACTCCTCAGCGTGTTTAAATCCAACATTCAAAAACGCGCGTGTTTTAAAGTTACCAATGACAACATCAACAACCAACAACCCGAGAAAGGTCTAAATAGCAACTTTTTAATTATTGATTTGTCAGGAGTAGGTACTTGTAGATAACGTCAAATAAAATGTAACAAGTGTCAAGCACAAATTTGGCATTCTACAATTATTAGTAATTTATGATTTGCAAGATTCACAAACTAACACATTCGGATATTTATCCATTTGAATGTGACACTTGCAATGCAAAATTTAAGCAAAAACATAATTTGATAAGCCACATATTATTAACACAGATTATTGATTATCTTTTCCAACACCTGCTAGTTATAAAAGTCATTATTTGTGCCAATTTAGGTAGGTAAACCTATTAAATAACACACTAGTATGTTATAAACCATAACCCACTTATGGGTTATGGTTTATAGCTCACTCTCCTAATTTTATAAATTTATAAATCTTGCTTCAAAGAGGACTCATTCCCATAAAAATACCTGTCAGTTATTACGTAAATTACGGTAAATTACCTGACCCTCGGGGTAATAGGTACTACCAAAACAAGAATTTTAAACCGGTAACTTACGGTAATTTTCTTAGTAAGTTTCTATGTAATATTCTCAGGAATATTACGTCATAATACACTGTTTTGACGAGCTTTAATTGTCGCTTGTCGCACTAGTACGTGAAGTAGGTACCTAATTTACTAGAAAAAAATGTTGACATCTGTCATTGAAATTACTTTACGCATCAGTGTGTAAAGTGAAGTACTTACACACGCATTTACACACTAGTGCGTGAAGTGAAATTTTACGTTTTTTGAATAGTGCGTGAAGTGAGTACTTTACGCCCGGTATTAGAAAGTAGCTATTTATGCAACAAGTGTGTAAAGTGAACCTTTTTTCACGAATAAGAATTTTGACAATCCATGAGTGAAAAAAGGTCCTTTCCTTCATACACGAATTGGATACAAATTTTTTTTTGACTACCAATGAAATATACAGGGTGAGTTTTTTTCGGTGTTTAGGATGGGGATATCGGAAACTATAACAGATACGAAAAAGTTCAAATTATCAAAGAATTGCAGTTTTGTAAACCTAACCTAAAACCCGAGCTAAAACTAATTTTAGTTTTCCAAAATTTGACAGCTATCAATAGATATCTCAAAAAAAACTGATTTTTGACGATTTCTTTTAACGCTCCTAGTTCAGCAAATATTAATTTTGAAAGAAAATGTTAAATACAAAAGTATTAGGAAACTTTATTCTCAATAAAATGATATAAACAGTTTTTTTGTCGAACCTGTCATTTTTGACATGTGACATAAACTAATGTTTTTTAAATGAAAACCTTATACCTAATTTTATCCCCATTTAATAGAGAGGTTATTTCTAAAAATATAGTTGTTGTGGGCATTTTTGTGTTAAGATCAAGAAGAAGGTCTTTGTGTGATTTACTCAATTATATAATTTAAACGTTGAGCTCAAAAAGACCTTCTTTTTGGACCTATGACATAAATAACTATTATTTTTCCCATAGGTAACCAGAGCTGGAACACTGTAACGAATAGAGATATTTTATCTATCTCTGTTGACGTTCCCTCTCTATTGATTTCGATAAAAGAGAAGAAGACAGCAAGTGCCATAGCGATAGGGATAACGATCTCTATCCGTTACAGAGTCCCAGCCCAGACTACGTTGAAGTGAAAGGTGAATCATAAAAAAAAACACAAAAATGCCCACAAAAACTTTACTTTTAGAAATAACCCCATCATATGCTATACCTACCATTAGAATGGTAATAAAATTCTCTATTTAATGGG